ACACGTTTTTGTGAAGGAGTTTGAAAATTTTTTTTGACAATATAGAAAAATTTGTCTTTCATTACTTTACAAAATCCTAAAATGCGAGATCAAACGGAACAACTTTTCGTAACCGGCGGGGTCCTTTCTTCGACATGTTTAGTTTTCAGAATAAATATTACAAGAAGCCCGATGACATTCTTTACAGAGTCCAAAACAGTTCTTTGCACGGGCGTTTTTCCTAGTTTTCCCTGTCATTTATGAAACAAAGCTTGAGTTTACAAATCGTTGGTAGAAAACAACGCGAAAAACAGACGAAAATTTTCGCTGGCTTCTAAGTTTCCCAACTCTATTAACTAAGATTGACGTTGCTAGTCTAGAAGAAGTTTCAATTTTTTGATGGATTTATGGCATTACCTTGAAAAGAACCGTGAAGTGCATGTATCTTTTAAGGGTCTTCAATATATGATCTTAGTTTAAGCCAGAAGAGCATTTTTTCTTTAATTTAGGATATTTATCATATCTCCATTCGGAGAAAAATGGATGCTGTAAATTGAAATATGACATACTTCAATGTCACCGATGGTAATCGTTTTTTCTTCACATAACTTTTTTAATTCTGTTAATTGTTTTGAAATATATGGCCATCTACCTGTTTGATCATCATCCTAGAATACAGAACAGCAACCGTGATCTAACCATCAGATCAAAAAGAATAGACCATACGATTACTTTTGAATTATATTGCGAACATGGCATTTCAACGTGATTTTCATCCCATATATCCTTATAAAAACCGTTAGCATTTACTGGTACTGGCCGAATATCTCTATTCTCTTCAACATAGTTATATGGCTAAAACAAAACGAGACAAAAAAGTTTTGCCGTATTGCGTTAGTCGGACTCTTCTTACTAGACCCAGATTTAGAAGGCAAAAAAGAAAGATAAAAACATAAAGAATTTTTAGTACTTCCTAGGTAGTACGAAATACTTTTGAATTCAGTATTTGCTACGATTTCTCAAAAAAAAATTTACACTTTAGGAGATGATGAGCGCTCAAACAGACCTTCTTCCAAGTCGATCACCCATGTGTATCCCGGTCGGGATTTATAAACCACAACGTAAGTTTATATAATATCATAGAGTACTCTTCGACTAACAACATAACAACAGGGTAATTTCGCAGTTCGATAGAAACAGTTTCCACAGCGTGTTTCGACATTGTTGAATTTCGAGCGAAAATTCTGTCGAATTTTTAATCTGTCTAGGATTTTCACTCGAAAATCGACAGTGTGTAAAGCCTGTCGAATTTCCATTGAAAGATTCAAAAAGACATGAAAGGGTAATGACGTAAAAGCGCAGGATGGGTGGGCATGGGAGTGAGTCACCAGACCACGTTCAATGTGCAGCCACTAAGCCATCGGAGACTACTGAGTGGTTTTTCCCTAGGGACATAGTGAAATGATGACGTAAAGATGTAGGGATTGTCTACGCCTCTACGTGTTTACGTCTTTGCTTCTCTTGTAGAGAAGTGAAGCAAAAAATCTGTCGAATTTCTAGTCTGTTTGAAATTTTTTCACTCGAAATTCGACAGTGTCGAAAAGTAGAACTGCCTAACAACAAAATCTTACAAAAGCTTCTCGTCAGTCAATGGTAGTTTCATAGTGAAGGTATATACTGTGAACTCTGTAATGTGTCACTTGGCACTATGGGTGGCATTCAATAGCAGAAAACATCCATTATCTTCAAAAAATATTTTGTTTAAATCGATAACCGTATAACTTACTTTAATCATAAATATATGATTTGCGTCATTTATGTTATACATATCTATTAATTCTGGTGGATTTAGTAAAAGACTTGGAATATCCGGTAAAGCTGTAGCATCCTATAAGAAAGAAATATCGCAGTTAACAGCTGAATGATTTGTAGTTGATCTAACATGCTTTCTGACTATAATAATTATTCGCACTAGAATCTGGTTCATCATCTAAATCACAACAAAAAAGCATCAATGTATTTAAGTCGATACGACAAAAAAACAAACTCAACTAACATGGAAACGTTTGGCGATTTTCACGCGGTAATTCTGGCCGATATAATTCACGTCCTTTTGATGGATCTAGTTCATCGTTATTTGAACTAGAAGAGACAGCTGTTAAAGTGTTATCTACTTATGTGCTTATGACTATTTACATTTTGCGGTGTTCTCGTCCATTCTTCAATTGTTGATAATGCCTATTATTTGGTTGGTGTAAATATGTATTTGAATGAGACGCTGAAAATGATCGAGGCTTTGTTCTATTCGGTGTGTTGTGTTTTGAATTATTCCGATTATCTATGCAAGACAACGAATACATCGCACTTTAATGAAACTAAGCGCCATCAGGGAAGGATTCTCCTGATTTTGAAAAAAAAATTTGTCAGACAGAGGAGATTTTGTCCATTTTATCAAATTGCCAAAACATAATAAAACAAAATCTAGTATCGCCATGTTATTCATCTAGATTACTAGATTTTTACTTGATTGCAATTATTTGAGACGTAAAGTTTTCAGTTGTTATGAATGAATGTAAACAATGTTGTCTTACTTTCTTTATTTTGTCTTACTGCTGATCTTATTCGTGTCGGTGATCTGTGATGATTTCGTTCTGACCTATGTGATTCATGTGAACCACGACGACCTTTTTGTTCGTTTTGCTGAGAGATCGGATCATAGTGTGAAGATGGAGAACGTTGACGAGAGCCAAAACAAGTACAACCATTTGCTACAGAAGTCTTTTTTGATTCATTTCCCTTCATAACTGTTAGTTAATATCTAAAAAATAAACTTGTTTAGTCAAATTTATCAGCATCTAAAGATCCTGTTCAAAGTCATTGTAGGAATGCTTCCGTTGTTGCCATTATTCTTTTGCAGACTCTCCCGCCTTCTCAAAAATACTACTTTGGTTCACAACACAATTCGTTTAATGTTAAAAACTGTAAATTTTATTTTTATAACAGAACATGCGCACAAACTACGAACGAGGAAAAAGGGAAAAAAAATCTTTAAGTAAAGTAACACGTGAAGGTTGATAAGCAAATGATAGAAAGAAAGAAAACAATGGTGATGTCACTCATACTACCAACAGCAACAGAAAAGGAAGGCAGTAACAGAAAATTTTATTATTGGTAAGAATGGTGAAAGAATATCGGAAACGGGCATGAAGCCAAGAAAGATCTGATAATAAGAAAAATATATTCAACAGATATCCTTTATCTATATTGCTCAGAATGAATGTTGAGTTTGAAGATTATTCCTCTTTTTGCTTTACAATAAATATCAATGATCAAAAACGAAAAATGACAAGAAATAATCGCAAACATTCGATTTATTTTTCTTGTGTCATATCCAAAAAAAGCTGTATCCGCTAGATAATGTAAAGCGATGTTGACCGATCAATTGTAGAAACACTATAATAAAGAAAATGCACGAAAACATTTCTCACTAGCTCTTGACATCGCCATACAGTCGAATCATTAGATTATCGATCAACTGGAAAAAGTAATAGAAGCCATTAATAAGAAACTCTAGAATTAGTCACTTTTTGGATTAAATAATTGGAGTTCTCACATTTTTAACATAGAAAAACCTATATTTTCTCGAGCACTTGCATCCTCTTTTTAACACTGCACCAACGAAGTATACGAAAATTTGATGGTTTTTTTTTCTAGAGAAAAGATCTTCAGGATCTTTACATATTCGGAATCAGCGCGTTCGATTACGTTGTACGGCGTAAAGAAGTCGTCGAAATAACTGCGTTTCTTTAGTTGTTGGTCTCCGCCTTGAGAGTTCGCGCTTTCCGACACTATATTTCAGTTTAGTTCACCATCAAACCTGATAGAAAGCTGCTTTTTCCTCTTTTTTTTCATATCATTTTTCTTTCTCCTTCCGGACTCCAGAGACCATTCTCAGCCAAATCATTTCGTTCGTCACTTGGTTATTTTGTGTGATCGAAAAATCACGGTACACCCTACTCATGATTCCGAACATTTTCTGGTGCCCGGTCAATTCGTCGCAGGTCTTTTCGTCGCGGACATGTCGTCGTGGTCATTTTGTCGCGGACAATTCGTCGTGGACTTTTAGTCGCATCACTTTTGTCGCACGATTTGTTTTAACATAATTTTTTGTGAAAAAGCTCGCAACTATAAAAGGGAAATCTCTGATCGTCAAGCTTGAACAAACAATAGGGTGAAATAGATGTTACTCTTTTATTTAATTTCTTGATTTATGAATGAAATGTAAGCAAAATAAACAAAGAAACCACTAGCCTATTGTGTTCACAATTTCACATTTGCTGCAATGCTATTCAAATATTCATCCAAATGGTTCGTATCATAAGCGTTCACCAAACGTTTAATTTGATCATCGCGTTTTCGACACGATGCTTTCTTTGGTTTGGGTTCATGTCCTTGACGAGTTTGAGCGATATCAATTTCAAATTTCGATTGTTCTCGACGAATTTTGTCGGCTAATTTGGCAAGTGTAGGATGACTAATCGAAACACGATTAGCAAATGCGCTATGCCAGCCTTCAACCGAGTTGTTTGAACGCGGAAGATCGTCGACAACACGTTCATATATATTCCACAATTGATGAACAAATTGTGGCCTTTTTCGACCGCTTCCTAAAAACAGGAATTTCGTCACATGTATCATTTTAGTCCGTGGCTTACCTCTTTCTTTTTGGCGATTTTTTCTATCGTGTTTTATTCGTCCAGGAATTTTTTTTCGAAAGTCGATTTCTAGCCTTTATTTGTTACACGTCTAGGCCTATCAGAAAAATTCGCTATTGGCTACAAGTGTCAGAAACTGGAAAAATTTTAATGATATTCTCGCTAGGATTTTTCGACCTTTTTAAAAACACCTTGGCTGGTGACAAAATGCTATTTTTTTGATAGTCCTAGACGTGTAGTTCAGAAATACACAAATACAGGCTCTCCCCCGCAATAGAATCTTCCATTTTTGCAGAGACAGCTCGCCCAGGTGTAAAGTTCGTGAAATAGATCTTCAAAGACATCCATGTCGAACCTTCGACTTGGATTCAGGAAAATTCGGAAAAATATATTTGGATAGTGTCAAAAGACGAACGTACATATTGGTGTCGAGGCAGAAGCGACCATTGCTGGAAAGAAAGGGAGTCAGACTGAAATTGTAAAGAACAGTTGATTTGTTTTTTGTTCAGGATAGAAAACTTAGACTTCGTTACGAAATCTAACACCATTGTCTTTTATTAATATTTCATCTCTCTTGTCTGTCCTCATCCCTAAGTTGCCTAAAATTATCTTAAAGTAATCTCTGTTATGCTTGGCTTAATCCTATAAAGCGCTTAGAACACCATTGATTAAATTTTGGCTTAGTTTTCGACGAGCCCGTAGCGATTAGTTTACACTTAACCGAGAGATGGAAAAAATTTCAGTTGATCCAGGTAAGCAAAAGAGGGGTGAAATGACTAGTCTTTTTTCCTAGTCTGGACGACCGTTCCGACTAGTCTTTACGACAAAAACGAACCTGTCATGACTAGTCCAGACTTTTAACTGTCACGCATACACGTCTAGACTGTACGGCGGACTGAAGTCAGCCGACACGTCCCGACTAGTCTTTACGACAAAAACGACCCCATCATGACTAGTCCAAAATTTTAACAGTTAATTAAAAGAAAACCGTTCATAGTAGTGTCGCTGACTAGTCTGCCAAGCTATATACTGATTAAGTCTGGATCAGTCTAAATGAAAGAAAGATAGAGAAATACGTTAGAACTGAACATGTGACACTTTGTTTTACATACCTGTGATGGAACCAACTGAGCCATTGCGCCATCAGTTTATGCATGTTAGTTTTTAGTATATGTGAGGAATATTTCCCTGAGGCTTTTTCAGAATTTAGGTCTTCGTTGCAACCTCATCATAACTTCCAAATAAGTAGTTCTGAGCAAGAGAACATTTTCAAAAATTTTAGTCTATGGTTGCGTGGTTGAGCCAAGCAAAAAGTTTTCGAAAAAATTCTTTGCTCAAAAATCCTTGTAATATGCATCGTTCAATTCGGTTTTCACGCGGATTCCAAATACCACCTCGCGTCTGTTTCAAACTCACAGCTTTCTAGTGGAAAATTTGAAATTATTAGGACAATTTGTCCGATTTCTTGCTACCGCCTGTATTTGATGTCTAAGTTTCGGCATGAATCTACCATTCGTAACATTGTAAATTACTCTGTCTTATACAGAATTATATGCTCTACAAAATGCGACATATGCTTCTACGTATAATTGAATCGTACATTATTTTCCATCAGAAAGTGCTTGTTGACGGGCACAATCATATTTGTCTAGAACAATGCACCAGACGTCCGTCCAGTCCGGGTGTCAGTTTCTTTGCGCAGATGGTGTAATGGTTCGAACTATCGTAAGACATAGTAAAAAATAATATAAATATTCTATGTTTCTTTACTAAATTCTACGTTCTTTATACAGTTCCTTTTTTGCAAAATAAAATGGTGAATGAATAGTTGCTGAGTACTCACATGAGTAACTGAGTACTCACTGAGTAAAACTACTCAAAAGTTGTTAGTAGAACTCATATGAGTACTCATGGACAAATTATGAGTAAAGTGGTACTCATAGTATGAGTACTTTCACTAGGGCGACAGAAGAAGATAAGAACATAAAGAATCAAAAGGGAAAAATATACAACTGACATAATTTACAGATGGATGAACGGATGAAAAAAACTACCAATCATATTATAGTGTTCACACTGTTACTGATAGTGGCAATAGCAGCGGTAGTTTCTCCCACATATGTGAAAAAAACATTTAAAACGTAGTGCTCAAAAACGTAGCTCGCGCTCGATCCGGCTCGCGGGACATTGGCTCGTGGATCGGATCGGTTCATCCAAAGAAAAAGAAAGTCTGCTCGCGGCTCGACTCGAGCCTGATCGAGCTAGCTCGCAAGCGCAAGTCTACGAGCCGATTAGGTAGCTCGCCCATCTCTGATCCCTACTTCGTGATATAATCGGTTGAAAAAGGATTAGCATTGTACGCATGGTTGATGCCTATAGAGTTAAATCAATATTCTTGCATACGTGAAGCGTATGCTTTAACGTATGCAATTAATAACGTAATGCAATTTATTAACGTTCAAATATAAGTTGTACAGGGTGGTCTAAAAAAGACTTCCCTCCTCCCCTGCATCTTTTTGGCTTTGTTGTGAATAAATATAATTTTGGAGGTTTTATCATGAATTTAGTCGAATGGACGAAGGATTTCTGGAGAACGCAGGAATGGAGAAATAATGCTAAATAAATACTCTAACCGCCTGGATTTTGAATTTGCATTCCTGGAGTACTCTCAGGAAAAATAAAAAGTGGCACAGAGCGTATAATATCACTCACAGATATGCACCGGTTTCGGTTTTCAAACCGAAAAACCGATGTTCGATTTAAGCGGACACCGAAAAAACCGAACATTGTCGCACTGAAGAAATTTTCATAGATGGTAGGACACTGTATAGTATCTATAGGCAAAAGATCACTGAAGTCGGCGTTGGACATTTGGAGAGGTCCCCTCATCGGTATTATTGTGCAATTTTGTGCCTCTATAGCTATATGTAACTCGAGGAACCTCAGGATATAACACAGATGATCAGAAGAAGAAATATATGGCATGCTTCATTCACTAAGGAGTAAATACCAGATATTAAATTCGTTCGTTAAGCCAAGATGTAGATTTATGTGATTTTTTCTGGTTTTAGCGGTTTTAGCTTTTTGATTGTCGGTTGACCGAAACGGGTACGGATAAAATCAGATGTTTCTTTGACAATAGTGAATAGATGTTACGTGCTCACTCCTTATATCATTTTAAAACCTTAAATAAAAATGCTTGAGAGTTTTTCGGTGTCGGTTTAAAGCAAACATGGGTCGGTTAACCGACACTGGTGCATACTTAATTACTCAGCACCGGTTTATGCTTTAAAATTTCTGAAGATTCTATTAGTAGTAACCAATATGGATTACTATCTTTAAGTAATATTTTAAAGCCCTCATAATAGATCTGATGTCCAGTATCTAACACAGCCCGTCCCGTAGCTGATACTTTGAGGACCAGTAAGAGACAAAGAGATTGAATTAGTCTTGCCTCCTTTCTCGTGCTTTTCTTTTAAGGTTGTACAGTTAAAAACAAAGTATATTCTTTTTATTTTATTCGTTTATCTCTCATCTACGTAAATGCTACAATTCTTTAATTTTATTCTGGATCAATAATAGTCATCATAACTTCAATTCGCTCGGTTTATGTAGCATCTCTATGTTCGATTTTATCTTGGAAATGTCCATTGTATTTGACGAAACATCGATTGCTAATTGATTATATATTACATAAACAGATATAAAACTTAAATTTGCTGTCGTTACACTTACTTTGTTACTTCGATATCTGACTTTAAATCAATTTAATGTTTCAAAATATCTCTGACAGCATTATGGACTATTTATTGTGAAATGCTTTTGGGATTTGTGGAAATTACAAAAAGATATACGTTTGAAGTTTTTGAAACCATTCAGAAATAGAAGCATTATATATTCTATTACGTGTTCTTGATCAGATAATTGTCTTTTGTTGTCTCTTACTCTTTTTTTATATCTCGATCAAATCTCATGCTGACTCAAGGAACCTTTCAGGAAAGACTTAAAAGGTGCCATATATTGTTGATTACGCCGAAGCACTGATTCATCAGAACACTGATACTTTGAGGTTTTTCAGAAGGTTTCTGGAAAACCTTAAACCAATACGGGGCTGAAATTTACGTTTTTCGTCTTCGATTATGCTTTATGAGCTGTTCTGAGCGTTTCCTGAAAATTTTCTTGAGTGAGCATGAGATTTGATCGAGATATAAGGATTTTAATTTTTGCTAGTTACAGACGAAAAACCGGTTTTTCACAAAAATGCCTCTGGCGAAGTTATGTTCATTTCTACACAAAAACAAATGTTGCTACGATGCTCAGCGTAGTCGATGATCTATATTCCATGGTATTTTGACATTTCCAGAGATGTCTGCTCGGAGATAGATACGTGCTTGGGGAAAGCGAGCCCTGCCCGAAGGACGATAGCTGCAGAGTCGGGACTTGCATAATTTTGTAGAGTAACGTCCGGACTATCTATGCAACTCAAAAGATTACTAACATTGTACGTTAGTTTTTTGAGAACGGAGCTGGTTTTCCAAAGATCCTCTGAAAACCTGATCGTTGAAATTTTTTCAAAGGTTGTTTCCGCTTGTGAAAAGTTTTGCTCAAGTCTTGGCTATCAAACAGCGAGAATCGCAGGCCTCTATCTCGTTCTTATCAAAAGTTATTCAAAAACATTCACCTGCCTTGACTTCTGCAAAAGTTCCACATTACGTTGATTTAACGCTAACTATTCTTTTAGTTACCGTTACTACGTTTCCAGTTACCGTTGAAAGAATGGTAACTATCAGTTAGTTAACTTTATGGTAACTATTTTTTAAGTATGCCAGAAATATCTCTGCAGTGGCTTAAAATGGCTTCCACAACCGTTAGTTTTCCACTAAAACCGTTGAAACTTTCATAAATCACATGGTTTTGTAATCTAATTTTGTTGATGAAAACAGAAACGATTTCTCAACCTGACTGTAGATGCTGAAGTAAACAGAGATCTCCTTAAAAATCGTAGTTACAAAACATTGAAGTTATATAATCTTGATTAGCTGATTGGCACGTGTGTGCCAATCAAAACCATGTCATTTATAAAAGCTTCAACAGTTTTAGTGGGAAACTAACGATTCTGCAAGGCATTTTATTGTGAGCCCATCTAAGGGCGTATGCGTATCTACTTTAAAACTTAAAAATTCAATAGCTCGGAATGGAATGTACTATAAAGCTGAAACTTTTTGTGAATATCGCAGACATATAGAAGATCCATAGAAAAGTATTGAGCTCTTAACTGCTTTTATTGACAGAGTTATAAATTTTTAATCTTCTAGTGTTTCCGTTAGAAAAAATAGAACAACCGCTATAACTCTGAACAAAGCACCATGGGCCGAAAACTTTTTAAGGCTCGACTGCCTCTATGGATCGAGATATAAATCATTGAAAACGGAAACGGGCATCTCGATAGGAAATTCAACAATTTTTTTGGTTGAAATCACATGAGATATACCTAACCGATAACGTTGAGTCTAGTGATAATATTTATTTTTTGAAAGCAAATTAAAAAACCCTAGCCTCTGATTCACTCGATTAACGTCAGCCGCTACAAAATGATTATGTAATCATATAAGAGTGAAGGGGCAGAGCACATTGGTCGTACCGGCGGATATTTGGCTAAAAATCGAAGGTGAGCTTTTCTGTGATTTGTATAGTGTCAGGTATAGTCCATTCAATGCACTATCGATTGGCATAAAAATTTTGTTTCTACGACCTTTTCTTACGGAGTTATCTGGTAAAGAAAAACAAGGAAACATGAGACATATGCTGAAACATAGGTGTATTGAGTAAAATCACAACGATAAATAGCGCTAAGGTCCAGTCTCATTCATTTTCACGTCAAAATGTTCGTCTCAATGTCTGGTGTGTAAGGTGCAGGTGGCTTTATGCAGTTTTGCTTCTGGGCTTTTCCGTAGGTTTTCTAAAAACCCTTGGTTTTTGAGTATTTTTCATTTTTCTCAGCCGAGAAACACTTTTATTGAAAACTAATGTGATATTCGGAATCAGCACAAAAACTTGCATCAAATGATGTTTAATTTCTTAATTTTACAAATAAAAAAGTTTTTGGCAAAAATTCAGGACATGGGGCACCTAAGGA